TGGGGCCAAGGATGTGCATTTTAAGAAAGCCTCCAGGCATGGATGGGCAGCTAGACACTGAATGACACTTCTCAGACCAGGGGTCAAGAATCCACAATTGAGCACACAATCATACTCTGTTGCTGCTGGCCAAGGACTGTTGCTGAGCCCAAGAAACAGGCTCCTCGCCTCTGTAATGGAAAGAGGTGGAAAACTTTTGGGAGAAATGTGTGGGAAGAGCTAGAACCACTAGAGAGGCAGCATAGTAGGTGTGGTGGTTCTCAAACTTGATGTGTGACCAGAATCATCCCAGGCACCTGCTAGGCCTGCCGGAAAAGTCTTTGATTCCCTGGTTCTCAGGTAGTGCCTCAGGGTTCTGATGGATGTAGTTTTACAGTCCTGGGGTAGTGGCAAGAGGCTAGGTTTTATAGTGGTAAAGACCTGAGCTGGGAACTAGGCTCTAATCTTACTCAGTGTCACCCTGAACAAGTTACATAATCTTCCTAAGTTTCTTCGGATAACAGAAGACAGAACAGATAACAACATCTACTTTCAGAGCTGTTGTGGGAATTTATAAGATCATGTATGCAAAAAGATCCAGCACAGGGAAATAAGGGGAAATAGCTCTCAAGATTTCCTAAACTCTCCTGTGCTCTCATCTTGTAATCATCTTTCTTCCTCTCCCACTCCTATTGCCTATGCTCCTGTACATGCAGCTAGAATTATACCCTACTCTTTTCTGTAGTCTAATGCTGAGTATTTGCCTCCCACCAAAAAACATCCTCAACTATCCCTTCTTCCTCTGAAGGAAAGACATCAACATCAGCTAACTTTGGGCGTCTGCAACATGCCAAGCAATTCTCCACGCACTGTTTTACAGTAGTTAGTATGCATAATATATAATAAACCATGAGGTGGGAACTATATTTATTTGCATTTTACAGATAAAATTCAGAGGCTAAGTTGCCCAAAATTACATAGCTAGTAACAGAATAGCTGGCAACTGGCTCCAAGACTGTTAAACCCTAGCTCCTCTCCATAACACTATGACTTTT